TTAGACTATACTTGATAATAACAATCTAAATGTAATATTACAAATCCTTTCAAGTCCTAAAAGCAAGTAATTAAACAATAGTATTAAATTCAAACTTAAAACATTGTCTAAATAGCAGACTTCACGGATTAGGAAGGCATGCGTTCTTTCCCTTTTTTAACTGTTAAAATTCCACTAAAACTATTAAATAACTAAGAATTACTGAATGAAAACTGAACCCTGACATTTTTTGCAGTTTAAGAATAACACGAGTAAGGTGAAACACTGGCTGAGAGATATTGGCTTTTTAGGATCTCTATTGAATTATATATTAAAGAATCAATTCCTTGCAATATTTCATTGATGCAGAAATGAATAAGATATTAATAAGAGCATTCTGTGTAAGTTGACCTTTGCTATAATAAATACTGCAACCTTCAACCTTCATGTTTTATTGTTAATAATAACCTACTATAATCTCAATATTACTCAGTAAATAGTTTTGATAACAAAGAAATAATTAACAATAATTACAATTTTATTTTAAAAGTTTGGAGTATTGTACATAGTTTTGATAATATTTAATAAAGAATAACAATATTTTAGGGTAGTTGTTTAGAACTGGCTTGGAATACAGTACAGAGCTGTGATGATCGGGGAATAAATTTGAAATATTTTATAATTTTTTGGAACAGGCTTAGAGTCGGTGCGTAATTTTGATAATAAAGAAATAATTAATAATATTTTACAGTTTTTAGAACAGGCTCGAGTACAGTATTATACAGTAGTTTAAATAATACAGTAAAAGAAAGAATTAACATTTTTCATTTCATTTTATTCAATATAAAAATTGCAGTCGAGGTCTGAATTAAATGATACTTACAATAATACAGAACAGTAATATAAAAACATCAAAGGAAGGTAATATAAAAACATCAAAGGATTAATTATTAATTAATAATACACAAACAGCACAGATTAAAAACATTAAAAATTGCATTTTTTACAAATTATATGATTAAATTTTATTTTTATACAAAATTTATATAAGGCAAGTAGGCAAATATAACATCAAAACATCAATCAAACACAAGCACCAGACATAAAAAAGGAGATAAAAAGTAGCATTAAAATACGTTAAAATTGGACAATTAACTACAATTTTATTTTAGGCTTGGAATACAGCTAGAAGACTGATCCCTACTAAGCCAGGGGATGACCTACAGCATAGACAGCAGATTTTGCTCTGCATGCAAAAATGGTCTAGGAGTTATTACATGCTCACATTATGCATTCTATACAGCACTTGAAATGCCAGGGTTGTCTGTGTATTGACGTCAAACAAACTGTGAGCATGGACAAATAGAAAAAACTAGCATAGAAGAATCTAACTATTGAATCGAGAAATAGAGAATGAGATTAATTTGCAAAAAAAAAATAAAAAAAATATCAAGCATTGCATGCCAGTCACAAATAATTAATTATCAGATTGCATAGTATTTGGAAGTACAGTAGTGATAAAATATTGTTGGGTTATTGGATGTGGATATTTTTAATTCTTTTAGAACCTATATTTGTATACTGTGGGGTGGGTATGAAGCATCAAGGGTTTTATTTACTTAACTGTTAGTATAAAATGATGATAGGCCTATCCTGGATAAATAATTGATTGATTGAATGATTATTGAGTAGATATAGATTGGACACCCCTTGAATAACAATGAGTAGGTAGTAGGTAATTTCATTTGTATTTTTTGAATAATTTTACTGGGCTTGCTACTTTCCTATACAATATTTAAACTCACGAGAAGCTAATTACAATATTTGTTTATCACCTCATTTCTTTTCATGGTAATTGTTGTTATTGAATCCATTGTTTAAACTAAACTATATCTGTCAGACTTCTGATTAATTGGATTAAATTTGACATGATTATAAACATTAATGAATAACCTGTTTATTACTCTCTACCTAATTATCTATAGTATTACAGTATACTGTATGATTGAATATAAAATAAACAGATAGGAATGGTTGCTGTAACTCTGTTTTCAAGGTAATTTTCTAATGTTGTTCCCTGTAGTAAATAACATTTGTAACTCTTGGAAAAACATAACTATGCATGGTTTGCAATACTGACGACAATAGATCTTGGATTTTGTCATTTTCAGATGGTGGTATGGGGGTATGGTCTTCTTCAGAAAATATTTGTTTCTTTTAGAGACCTGAAGATGTGTTCACCTTCTGAGACTGGTCTGTTGATGGCGTTTAATTGCTTCAAATTTTAGGAATTTAAAAAAAATGTTAATTTGAAAGATGATGGAAAAGATGATATGATAATTATGATTACCTACTGTATGCAGTGGCGTGGATTCATTACCAGGCTTAAATATGAGAGAAGTAAGTCCATGACGGGGGGAAAATGAGAGGACATGTTCCCCATTAAATTGTTTTGTAGATTATTTGGTAAAAAGTATTAAGCCATTAGACATTAACCCCGGTATTCTTAAAACGAACTTTAGTCCTAGTTTGAGCTAAAACTTACAAATTACGTCATTCATATTCTTAAAATGGACTTCGACTAGCACTACGACTAAATGACGTGAAACTCGACTAAAAGGATACCTCCGCGGGCCGATTTATTTAGTCAGCCTAGAGTCAGGCTAAATCACCGACTTGAAATATTTATCCTACTAAAAATGTGTTTATTGTAACTCACGATAAACTGAAAGATAAATACAATTGTATTAAGTAGCTCTGATGTATCTTCAGTGTTTTCACGAAAAGGGGCATGAAGTTTAGCTTCCAAAAGGCGAAATTAATATGTTTTGCTAGCCACATGCGATAGTTCCCGATTTGCCCACGATCACGTAGCTTCACCGTAACAACAAAAAAGATGGCGCCGTCTTCACTCGGACTCAATTATAATTGTTCTCCAAAGAAAGCAAATTTACATTGACTGTTCAAATTCTCTATCGTTATATGTTAACAAAAACTAATATACTTATTATTATGCAATATTAATTAAGCAAATGATGGTCTATTGTGAATTATGAGGAAATAGGTTTTGAACCACAGAGAGCAGCTTAATATTTATCCGTGTTACCGGATCTCTAAAATTTCGTCTGTTATTAAAATTACTGTAGCCCTTTTCATTGGTTAGTTTGATAGTCATTGCTTGCCAGCCGTCTTCAGGTGAACTAAATCTACTGTAGGACTTGATTTAGTTGTACTGTAGTTAAAACTTCAGCTACGTTGTTTGTGAATACAAATTGAAGTTGAAGTTGCAACTAGGACTATTATAAAGTTTTAGTCTGAAGTATGTTTTAAGAATACAGGGCGTAAGGGTATCCTGACTTAATATTCCTTTCTTTTCTAGTACTTTTCTAGTATTCAGTCAGAGGGCTGGCCCTAGTCTATACCTAGGGATTTTTTGGCCGCAGTATGGGGAAGGTTGTAGCCACCCAGTTCGTTACAGGGTCCGCCCATGTTTTTCCTTCCAACAAATGATAATGAATAGAAATTTATTGAAGAAATATTATGTTAACAGCAAGCAGATACTTAATTATACTGTACAGGTATTCCTACTTTACAAGTGCTGGAATCTAGATTTAGAAATTTGACATGTAAATCAAATTCCTAAAAGTGATGGTAGCAATCACTATTACTTTCAAATGTAGCTCTATGCGGTTCAAATTATACAGCTGAACAGCCTTTCTAATTGATATTGAATGTAAACATACCAGAAAAACTTGTACACACAACACGTAAGCACTATTGAGTGCATATTTAAAGCAAAGTGAATACTCTACACATCAGAGAATAAATTGGAAGTGTGAGGGTGTTGTACTAATGCTTGTATGCATTTTTATTCTGGGTTAAATAACATTTAATTCACTTAGCTAATTTTATTGAGTAAGCTATAGCATATATAGTGTTGCACTAAACCATGTGTATTGTATACTTTCTTCCTGGTAGTAAAATTTATTTCTGTTCTATAATAATAATAATAATAATAATAATAATAATAATAATAATAATAATACCATTTAGAAAAAATGCCTACTATACCATGCAATGATTACTAAAATATTTACAAAACTTCCTAGACAATAGACTGTGTTTGATGACCCAGCACTAGTAGAAGTAATTAGAAAATATGTGACATTTAAAAAAAAAAACATTTTCAATTCTTTTTCTTTTATTGATTTTGAGACGCATTGTGTGCAACCTTGTTCAGTTACTACTAGGTATCTACAGTACATCAGAGAACTTGCAATACTGTAGTTTAACAACCTTTATCTAAGAAATGATACTGTATGTCTCATGCATATTCATTCAAAACATGCTTACTTCAAGCACTTTATTAACTTCTGAATCTGATTACACAAAGCAAGGATTGATTTGTACTATATGATTTGAGTAGAACAAGAGAAGATTTGTTTTCTCTTTTATAATTATTTTTATCACTTTAGATACAAATTGAAGTTGAACAGTAAATTATCTATATCTCTTATTTAATTTTAGAATCACTTACCGGTACACATTTTCATGCTGCATTTTAACTGTACAGAAGTTTCAAATTCTTTTTTCCCAGGAAATAAACAACAAAGTGTAGTGTATATTCAAAGTGAATTGAATATTAATTTTGGTATCATCAGTGTACTATGGACTCAAGTGATGATGATAGTTGTGTGTCCCAAAGTCTGTGATATAATTCAGTGTGTGTGTGTGTTACGGACATCAATCCCTCCCGCTCCTCTCTTTCGCTTGTGTTTTCGTGAAAGGACTTTATCTGTACGTTGCGGCCTACCTGTATTAATGTGTACTGGCAGCAAAATTGCTGGAAGTAACCTGCAATGGATTAGCCTGCCTCCCATCCGAGGGAGTATTGTACTCGTCTGCTTCACTACAGAAATTAGGGAAAAGAGCTTCTGCAGGCCGTAATGGCTCCTGAAAAAAGATATTCGGCATTCTTTACTTGTTTACATGCATTCTGATCGTTTGATTTGTCATTTCAGATACACCGCCAGCGGAACAACCGGAACTGTTTGTAAAGAAACTACAGCAGTGTTGTGTGTTCTTTGATTTCATGGATGCTGTTGTGGAACTGAGAGGCAAAGAAATCAAAAGAGCTACTCTCAATGAACTGGTTGACTATATTACAACTGGAAGAGGTGTCATTACAGAAGCTATTTATCCAGATATGTTTCAAATGGTAAGTGGCATCCGAAATAGGCAGGCGTTTCCACACACTGTACTTGCTTTCAAAAGCAATTGGGCTGAAAATCATTTTCCAATTCATATGAATGGTTTTATGACATGTATTAATGGTAATTCCATTTGTGAATGAAATGGAAATAACATTACTATGTGATGATTATAAGTACCATTGATGAATCATGTTAACATTCTATGAATAAATATAAAGTAATTTTAAAATAGATATTGTACATTTATGCAGTTATTACTATTTTGCATACGATTCTCTTGAGTTAGGCCTTTGATCAACAATTATTTTGAACATTTTGGGTGATATTTGTTAAACCAGCTTTTAAAATATAATTTGTTGTATTTGTCAAATGTACTTTAAATGATTATAAATTATAGCATAGTGATACAGTATTGCAACAGCTATAGTTACTTGTTCCTTAAAATAAGCAAATTAGTAAGCACAATGTTATGCACAATATGCCAATACATTGAAGATTAAGATGGGCCCAATTAAGCTGTCAGTAGAATACAATAGTTGAATTCATGCTAGTGCAGTCCCGGCTACAGTATGGAACAGTAGTTCATGGACTGTAGTTTAACAATACTGTTATACCGTCTATAGTACATTAATCAATGCTTCACTTAAGTGCTAGGCAAACAAAACTCTTAAAAGCATAATTTACTATAGTCCTCAATTTAATAAATTGCATAACATTACTGAGTATAGTCAGCCTTAAAAAGTTCATTCTATTGTAATGTGTTGACAGCAAGCTAAGGTTTCACTATGGCAGGCCACAGTACAGTAGTTTTTTTCCCCATACATTGTTTTCCTTTTGCCCCAGAATATTAGCCATTTATTATACAAATAAAATTTCTTGCCAAATCTTGTGGGCCTCTGTATAGCAGGGGGCGCTATATATGACATGAGGGGGAAAAGTGTAGGTACCAAACGAAAGGCCACGCCCACCTCAGGCCCACCATGATTGGGGCTGAGCTGATGACATATTTTTAGAATAGGCACCTTTAGAAGCCAGAAATGGCACTGTCAGACTGCAACAAAATAATTGGCAACTAAAGTTTAGGCCTAAATAAAACAAAAAGATATGTTTTTTCTGAATTTGCGAGGATGTGAATTTCTGGGAGATTTTTGCTTGTTTGCGGGAGTGTGGGGTAACATACCAATTTCAGGGAGACTCCTGGGAGTTTTGGGAGACTTGGGATCCCTGGTATAGTCAGCTAGGACCAAACATCAGCTAATACCAAATATCAGCTAATAAATAATCACTTCAGATTACAGGTGGGAAAGTGCAGCCCGTGGGCCGCATGTGGCCCGAAAGTGGTTTTTTTTTGCATCCCACGAAAATGAATTAAACACGCTATACAGTATGTCCGTCCCGCCAAATATCTTTGGCTAGAAAACACATTGTTTTTTCAAGGCCGGACACCGACCATCTCTAAAAAGTAGTATTTAAACTGAGAATAAAGTTGTGTAAAAGCTGTGCATGAACAATAACATTAAAGTTTGGGTGTGGCCCTCTGTGTTAAGTCAAAAATTCACTTTGGCCCTGCGTCCGATTTTTATGCCCACCCCTGCTTTAGATGGAAAGATTGTAGACACTTGAATCAAATAATTGGTCATGATTAAAAACATTCTTTATTACAATCAAAATTAAACCTACAGTACTGTAGACCAAGGCTTAGTATGAAATGAATAAAATATTTCATTGTGGTTCAGTGTATTAGAATATCGCAGATAGTATGCACATTGATTAACAAAATATTATTGGTTTCCAATCAGTTTTTGATTGCTAGTACATGACATGCTACAGAGTGATATTGTTTCATTCAAATAAAGATGCTACAAGAAGGAAGAGAAACAATATTTTTCTATGATATGGAAGAATGTTATGGCTTTCAGAACACCATTAAAATAAGATTCGAATAAATCCTTTCAAATAATGTATAATGCAATAGAGAAGAATAGTTAGGTAACAAAATGTCAGTCTAGCATTTAGTTACTCAGCTACAGTATGATCAGTTGAATACAGTACATCATAAAGTTGACTTCAGTGTAAAATGTAGGTTGCTACTATCCTAGATTAGAAAATTGCTGACCTTGGAATTCTAATAGTTGGGGAAAACTTTCCGGTCTAATTGTTTGCTAATTTCATGTGCTGTTGGCCTATTTAAAAATGTACTGTATGAATAAAAATTTTAAAATAAAGAAAAAGACAGAGTGGTGATGATGTTAGGTCTGCATTATCTACAGGTTAGCATGTTTCATTTTTTTAAGTACAAAATTTCAAATATTTTGCTTTTTTCCTGGTGATCAAGTACGTATTTATATAAAGGTATTGATCTGCTGTAGAATTAATACTTAAAATAAATATACCTTTGAAAAAGATTGTATAATATATTCATCTTTTTGTTCTGATAAATTGAGTCACTTTAAAATAAATTGAATCTAAACATTTATAAACAAAGTGATGAATAGATTTCTGACATGCACAATTTGAATTAACCCTGTGTTTCTAGAAAAATTTCAAATAATGCTATGCTTTAGAGTGCATTGGTTTAGGGAATGCATGTTTTAATTTACATTCCCATGACCAGTAAAGTATTTAGATTGACAGATATCAAACTTGATTGTTAACCAAATGTTAAAGTTCAACCTGCACATTTGAAATGTAATATTCCAACTGAAATTCCTCTGAATATCCAGAGCCTTTTTCACTGGAGGTTTTATGCAGTAATATCAAAGTTCTAAAATATATTTTATAGTAGTTATTTCTGTATTATGTTTGCTTTGACTTTCTTTAAAATTTATTTACACTAGTTATCAATGCATGAAAAAAAAAATTATGTAATCGCAATGTTTAATTTTTAATTTCAAAGTGCATTAACATTTGAAATATTTTGCTAAACCATATTGTCAGACTGGCATTATTCTCTCCTTTTAATGTTCAGTATGTCTGCTTGTTACTCTTATACAAAATACAAAGCTAGTAAATCATTTAATTAGTTGCTGTATTAAGCTTAAATTTAATTGAATATGAATTGTTCTCTTTACAGTTTTAGGCAAGTTATCAACTTTCATTGGCAAATTAGGATGAGAAAAAAATATTTTCAAGCAATTAAAGGGCATGAATAAAATTGTATTTATTTGCAGTCATTCTCAAATAGGCTGGTCATTAAATTAATTCATGGAGTTGTAAAACATTTACCAGTAAATCAGTTTTTTCCTTTATGGTTCTGTTTTAATTGAAACCTGTGAAATTAGCGATTCGTTTTTGAAATTAAATTTTAGAGTTGGGTTTTTCACAAGATTTTATAATAGATCTATTAGTGAGATTCAAAATGCATTCCTTTGTTTTAATGTTTTAAAAAGGATGATCTGAGTAAAATTGGTAGTCAACTAATGGTTACCTAACTGTAATTATCATTTGCCATAACCTTGTGTTGTTTGGGTATTTTGTAGGACAATCCACGTATATTTCCCGGAAATAATGCATGCATCATAAAAGATTAATGGTCTATAAATGAAAAAGATCTATAAAATGTTGATTTCAGTATCATACTTAAATTAGTAACCTGCTGTACTCCAATTCTTTGTGATAGAAGCAAACATGACAGAAACAGGTGGAAATGAAAAACCTTGTTAATAATCGCATCCATTTGTTATTGCCTGAAATATTAATCTAGCTTGCATACTACATAGATATGGGGGAAAACTGTGTATGAAAGGACTAGGTATTCTAATTAGTTGACAGGATATGCTGTATCACCAAGCGTACTTTGTGGAAGGCTTGCTGACATTATAGTAAATCGAAATGTATTCAAATGACTAGTTTGGTTGTCAATTAAGTCAATTTATTACGTTTTACTTTCAATTACATTAATTCTTAAATTGTAATCTACATTTCCACAGGTTTACTACTTTATTTTGGAAAAATTGATTCTAAAAATATGTATGATGAAATGAATGTAAAATGAAATTTATTCTTACCTTTGGGTTGACATATTACCATGTTTCCTAGCAATAAGCATAACGCTAATAACGGTTAATATTGATATTAACATGAATAATAGACGCTTTATTTGAGGGAACTGAATGATAGTACACAAAAAAGCCATTATTTCCTAAAAAAAAATAAAAAAAATACTGCCTTTAAACTCTGGACATAAGGCAGTAGAGGCTTCCTAGGATTCCACACTCAAATCTAAATTTGATTATAATTTTCCTCATTCCATCAATTTTTTTATAATTTTGAAAAATTAAAAGGTGGGGGGAGGGAGGGGCAGGGCCCTTGCGGCCCTTCTTGAATCCGACACTGCCCGAAATAAATAGACATAATGCATAAAAAATTTATTCATTCATAGTAAATTTTGTTTTTTGGTTCCCATGCCTTTATTTTTGGCCTTTATCATCATTGTTTATTCCGAATTATTTATTACACCGCTATGTAATCAGTATCCCTCATTATTTAAATTTCTAAATACCATTTACCTAACTTCATACAGTATTTCTTGTCAGTTCTCCTCACACAGAAGAAAGCCATCGTGTTTGAAATATTTATCCACTGGACTGAGCAAAAAATTACTAAATTAGTTACAAATCACCTCATTTCACTTTTGTTTGGCATTTACAATTGGTCTGCTTCATTTTCCATCTTGCACCCATCAGTTCTCCCATGTCAAATATCCTAGATACGCCACGGTATATAAAAACACAATATTGAAGTCTTATGAGTTTATCAAAATAATTAAAATTTTTTGTGAAAGTCAGCCATGCAACGAAAATGTGCTTTATCAGTCTGATGGGTGTGAGCAATAGATTCAATAGCTAACACTGCTATCGCTTGGTCTGAACTTAAAATGTGCCTAAGGAAGGCAGTCGCACTGAAAGAAAGAACTGTAGCTAAAAATAAAATTAGACTACTGCATGGAAAAAGTTATTAGGACTTCCTGACTAGAAATTTTTTGTGTTGACTACAATGATTTAAA